ATAGCTCGCTAGCAGCCTCGCACCGAGGACCTATCCACGTCATCATTTACCCAGAATGCTTTGTGTGCAAATAAAATGGCCCCATCCATGTTAAAATAAATTTTTAAAAATTTACAAAACCGAACATCCTACAGTATTTTTATAGTCTTTATTTTACAGTTAAAATTCATGTTTATCAAATAAAGTCTAATGTTACAACTAATCATGGATCCCTTTAAGGAGCATTGGAAATGTAGTTCTAGACAGATTTCCTTCTACTGGTGAACTGGTGATTGTCTGTGAAGCTGTAAAGGTCAGGATGTACAGAGCTCGTGGGCGATGGTGGGAGGCTGTTTTTCAACGTGCTGGCTGAGATCTCCTCAATTTTGTAGGAAACTGTCTGAAAGTACTGATTGGGGTTCAGCTGGGAGCTGAAGGAGTTCTGATGAGAAAAGACACAGCCCAGTCCTCGTATCCCTCCTCCAGTAGTGCCGTAGTCATGCAAGTGGTAGCGTATGCATGAGCACACCGACTGTAAATCATTCACCTCCATGCCGTACACCTCACGTCGCTGTCGGCCCCGCTGCACAGCTTTGTCTTGGATGTGGATCATCATGCTGCTACGATTGCCAGCGAGCGAGGCCCGTTCTTCTGCGTCCCGTCGCTCGTCTTCACTGTTCATCGTCAGGAAGCGGAGGACCACCAGGTTCAGAAAAGCCCCAATGACCGTCAGACCCACCAGGATGTACATGAAGCTAAAGGCCACGTACAAGGGCTTCTTCTGAAGGGCCCGGTTCTTCTGAAGGGCCACAAAATCCCCAAAGCCTATGGTTGTTAAGGTGATGAAGCAGTAGTAGTACGACTGGAAGAAGCTCCAGTCCTCGTAATGGGAAAAGGCAGCAGCACCGATACACAACGTGCCAATACAGGAGAAGAATCCCACCGTCACCATGTTTTCCATGGACACGTCTGTGATGCTCATGCCGCAGCACTTCTTGATACGTTTTAGGAGGCACTTGACGAACGTGTTCATCCTCTCACCCAGACTCTGGAACATGACAAGTGTTAGAGGGATCCCCAGGACAGCATAAAACATACAGAAAGCCTTCCCTGCGTCTGTCCCTGGTGCTGCGTGGCCATAACCTGAGAAGAAAAGGCAGAAAACAACAATGAGCAGTGCTTAGGTTAAGTGTTTTGGGAACAGCAGCCCCCAGAGTTATTTAATTGGATGTTCAAAAAGCCGCCAACTTATCAATTTCTACTAACAAGAAATTTCACTCAAAGTCTGCAAGGGTTGCCAAAAAAAACCCTGAGTAGGTGCATGCCACCAAGATGTGTTCACTCATTAATGTTATTGGTTTGAAATGTCCGGTGAGGTAAAGAAGTTTGGACAAGAGACTGGAAGAGTCAGTGAAGCTTTTAGCTTAATTACACTTTATATTTAGACCACATTCTGCTGACTCATGATAAAACGTTTGAGAATCAACCTGTAAGAAGAACCACAGACATGATGCCAGTTTTAATCCATCTTCATGTCTTCTTCATGCTACTCTATGTACATGGCATCCTGTTTGCAAAGTCTATTCAGAGATTAAACATGTAAGCCTTAAATATGGTGCTCAGACCAAATCTCTCTTCTGTTATCTGAAACAGAATCAGAGCCAAGAAACACCCATTGGCATCAGAAAGGCTGATGCTTCATGTGCATTCAAAAAGGAGACAGAATATTTTCAATGTGCTGTCCCTCAGTGTTAAAACTAATCTGTTTCTGTGAATAGGTTTTGTGTTTTTGTTCTCAAATATTGATATTTTCCCATTTGGCATTGCATCCCTAGAGTGTGTTTTAATTTTACAAAAAGCAAACAGCAACAAGTAAGTAAGTAAAATTTCATTTATAATGCATTGGTCTTAGAAATGATTTCACAAAGTGCTGTAAAATACAAAAAATACAAAAACAACAATGCAACAATCTACAGCAGGTAAAATAAGTATTAAACACGTCACCATTTTTCTCAGTAAATATATTACTAGAGGTGCTAATGACATGAAATTTTCACCAGATGTCGGTAACAACCCAAGTGATCCATACATATTTCATTTCAGAAGTCATTTTGCAGGTATACGGA